AGAATGGTTAGCTTTTAGATAAGGAAAATGATTTATCTTTTTAGAAGGTTTTTGGAAGAGAACCCTTCTATAAAAGGGTTACACGTACATTGTAATGGGGAGATTGAATTTTATGAAATAAAAAAAGTTTCTTTTATAGAGAGAAAGAGCCTTTTGTGGGTTTTTTTTTTTTTACTTATGGGCCTGTGTTGGAATACTTGTATCCGCGCATTTTGTTCTTTCTTCTTGTAATATCTTTCACGATTTTTATTTCTCTCTCTTAAACACGATTAATTTTGTTGGTATTGTTTGTCAGTAAATTTTATGTTGCGTCAGGTAGTATCATAACTTAATTGATTCTTGTGGATCGTGGTATTTTTCGTTAGGCATCATGGCTCGTAGACAAGGTCCATGGCCAAGCATCGAGGCTTAACCCATCGAGCAAGAACGAAACCTCCGAGCTCCCCAAGACATGAAGAACAAAAGTTTGAGAAGGCAAGTAGAAGAGCTGACCAAGTGCCTGGTGTAAAAACTAGTTTCGACACACTATGATGACGGTGGTGAGTTAGATGCTATTTTCAAGAACCTATTCCATGGCAACACTCTGTGTTGGGAGCCTCATGGTTGGGATAGTGATCTAATTCCTCATGGTTAGGAATGTGATCCAGTGAAGTTTGATGAATAACCAATAGGTTAGGATCTTCAATCAAACTAATTATTTCATTTCAAAGTGATCTCATCCTTGATGAAGATCTTATATTTGATGACGAGCAATTTGATGAAGATCCAATATTTAATGAAAAACAAGATCGAAGGAGAGAAGTTTTCCTTGAGGCAACAATGATACCTACTATTCTTATGGACGAAGAGATGTAGAATCAAGATGTTGACTTGATTCTAGAAGAGATCCAGACTTTGAAGATGCATGACGAAGTAACAGATGCATACATGAAGTACCCTATGAAGATGCATGATGAAGAAACAGATGCATGCAGGAAGTGCCCTATGATTAAGTTGCTATTTCAGTAAAGGCAATTTCAACAACATGTGGCTAAAAATCGACATACAACGACCATTTTGTTAATGGCTTATCAGTTTTAGTGCACAATCATCATATTTTGAAAGGTGAAGTAACCCACACGTCTCAGGATCATGTTTGCAATATTCGGGTGTCTTAGAATCATGTTTGCAATATTAAGTTGAAAAAGATGCAAAAAAAATTTAATCTTATCGCATTTTAAAACTCGAGGTCGAGTTTTCTGCAACCAAGGGAGAATGATGCAGATCAAAATCTGGTTGATACATATTTCATTTTTATTTTTATTAATTTTATTTTTGGAGATGTGGGTAGTTTTTTTTTTTTATTATGGTTAATTATTAGAAATAGAATTTTTATGTTCGTTTGATTAAATCTAATTTTTAGAATTTTGTTTAGATAATAAGGTCCAATTTATTTAATAAAGTTAAACCCTATTTTTAATAGGTATGTATTATTTGTAGTAGGTCCATCCTTTTTTAGTAAATATTAGAAATATTAGATTGAGATATTTTTCATTTCTCTTGATGGTTTACCAAGGAAGTCATTATCTCTTGGTGAAGAAGGAAAGAAGTTTAGGAAGTAGGACGTGAGATTTAGGATTAACTTGCTTAGAAGGTGTTATCTTATTGTAAAGGGAAAAAAACGTGGAATAAAGATATAGTATATCTATTAAAAGAAAGGAGATATTTTAAGAGTGAGTTGCTTTAGAAGTAAATAAAAAGAGAGTGTATATTGTAGAGGAGGTAGTAGTTAGCTTTTTAGGAATAAAAGTTTATTTGATTAGAGTGGTTAGCTTTTAGATAAGGATAAACTCATCTACATTGTAACAAACATATTGAATTTTATGAAATAAAGAAAGTTTTTTTTTTTTGTAGAGAGAACTTTTTGTGCGTGTTTTTTTTATTTGTTTGTGGGTCCGTGTCGGAATATTCGTATCTGTGTATTTTGTTATTTCTTCTTGTGATTTTCTTTAAAATTTTTATTTCTCTCTTTTAAATGCAGATAATTTTGCTAGTGTTATTTACCGGTAAAATTTATATTGGCACTTTTTGAAAGTATCAGTATGGTGGTGTTAATGGTGCGAATAAAAACCACGGTGACTAGTACAATCTCGCAATCTTATATAAAATACTTTCCAATATAATTTTGTGCTGCCGTGCTGTGCTTTGCTCCCTAGGCCATCAAATCACTAGATTTATGAATTATGAATGCCCCGTTGGAATGGGATTCCATTGAATCATGGTGTACTTTCCTTGTGTTTTTTTGTGAGTGTACTATTAGCATTAATTTGGAGCATCTCATCATTTCAAATGAATATTTTCCAGACAAGATGAGAACGAGGCTTTTATTACTTTAAAGAAAAAGATACGGGCCTTTTGTATTAAGAAAAAGATACGGGCCTTTTGTATTTGGAAAAAGTTTATATCAGGTTGCAGCCTTAAAATGTAGAACTAGGGATGCACCACAAAAATCTATCGGAAAAAGGTTATTTTAATGTTGAAAAACCCTCTGATTGATCATCTCGATATCGAGATGTATGATCATGAAAAATAAATGGATTTTGAGTCTCAAAAATGGTGCATCGTTCAACATCTAAACTGTCCATTTTCAATATTTTCATATGCTTATAGATCTACTTGATTTTAACTATTTTTGGAGTTTAAAATTTTATAATTAGATATAATAATAGATTTTGAGATAATCCTAAAAATATTTTACATCAAAATTATATGTTATGATAAAATTTGAAGGTGCATGTTAATTGGATTGTGTAAGGTTGCAAGCTTATGGAAACCACACGCTTTGTATTTTAGGCCAAATGCAATTTAGACTTAAATGGGGTGTAGCATGTTGCAATTTGACCGCAATGCGGGTTTGTTTTACATAAGGGTGTGGTTTTTATAAAAGGTTGCAACCAGTAAACAATATAATTAAGGTGTACCTCCAAATTTTGGTGTAAAATATTATTAGGATTATCTTAAAATCTATTTTTATCTTTAATTATAAATTTTAAACTCTAAAAATAGTTAAAATCAAGTACATTTATAAACATACAAAAATATTGAAAATAGACGGTCTAGATAATGTGTTGTGAAATACACTATTTTTAGGACTCAAAATCTTTTTATTATTTTTTTATATTCATACATCTTGATATCGAGATGATCAATTACGGGGTTTTTCACCGTTAAAACAACCATGTCTGATGTATTTTTAAGGTGCATCTTGAATTATACATCTTAAAGTTGCAACCTTATACAAACTTTTTCCTTTAGGTATTCAATTGATTGCCAATTATAATCGAGATCGCAAAACCACTTGGGGTTGTTTTTTTAGAAAATGAAATTGGCTCTCCATTTCTCACTCTCAACCACTGCTCTGGACCACCTCCACCACCGTTGCCACCTCCATTGCCCGTTACATCGTCATGTTCACCCAGACACCACTAGCAGCATTACCATCGCTTGCACCCCCAATGCCATAACCACCAACACTCCGCCACCGCTATCACACTTTACCAGCTCCACCGCCGCCACCATCCACACCACTACTATTAACTGCTGCCCCCACCACCACTTACACCACTGCTACCAACTCCAGCCGCCGCCACCACCACCACCATACTACTGCACAACTAACAACCATCGTGCTGCAGCCAACCCGCTACCAAAACCATTGCCATCACCAACACTATCACAACACACAATTACAAAAATTGCACTTAGATTAAATGCCCCTTGACTTTAACAATTTGCGAAATCACAATTTGATCAAATACAATCGAGAAATATAATTAGAAATATAATTTATTTTTTATCTTTTTAGAAAAAAACCCATACTTTTTAAATCTCGTCCATACCTCCTCCTTCTTCTTCTTCCTCTTCACAGTAGTCATATGACCGTAAAAACATCACAGTACTTAAAATACTATGATGACCATAAGTGGTATCACTGTATATAAAATACTGTGATGACCACATATTGTATCACGATATTTTAACTACCGTAATAGTCTCAATATTTTGCTCAACTAGTCATTTTAGGTCAATAACAGTAACCTTTGTAACGAAGGCATCACGGTTTCCCTACTTTACCATCCAATGTTCAATTGTGTGGCTTTGCCATCGATGATCTTCTTGGTTTGGGTCCACCTGTTGGAGCTTTCGCACCTCCATTTCGGGTCAATAATAGTAACCTTTGTGGTGAACGCATCGCGGTTTTCCTACTTTTCCATCCAATATTCAACAGTCTGGCTTTGCCATCGATGATCTTCTTGGTTGGGGTCCACCTGTTGCAGCTTTGCCACCTCCATTGAAGCTTAATAATAAACCTATCCTAAATCTGGAAAATTTTCAGTGGAGATGAGGTCAACTTGCTGCAGCTTTATCAAAGGTTCTCTCTGTCCCCCACACACTTTCAGTTTGCATGCTTATTTATAGCTAGTTGTGCAAAACATGAGAGAAATTATTGTTATGGACCTGAAATGGCTAGTTGAGCAAAAAATTGAGACCATTGTAGTAGTTAAAATACTGTGATACACCCTGTGGTTCATCATGGTATTTCAAGTACCATGATACCTTTTATGATCGTCACGGTATTTTAAGTACTGTGATGCTTCACAGTCGTATGATTATCGCGAATGCTATTTTGATAAGAAAAAATACGATAGGCTGAAAAAAATAGTATGGATGAAGTTTAAGAAAGTATGATGTTTTTTCAAACAAAAATTGAAGTATATTTTCGATAATTTTCCAAATACAATTTCAAACACTTCATTCCACAAAATTTGAGACTCAAATGGTGCCACATACACTAGAGTGACTTTTAAGTATACCAAAACGAATTAGTGACGTATGTGCAGTCTTCTGCCCAATCTCACAGGTAATAGAGTTAAAGAAAATTGAAATTCGTAGAAGTCTTTGTTATAGTGCCTTTCGGAAGTTTCAACACCAACTAAAATAGATGACCTAAGCATAGAACAAAAACTACAATATGAGGGTCTAGTTTCATTATTATCAAAAAAAAAGAAGAAAACTACAATACGAGGGTCTAATTTCATTATTAAAAAATAAAAATAAAAATACAAGGGTTTTCACAGCTTTTTAATGACACCAGGATATTCATAATCAAGAAATGTGTGGCCGTGAGAGATGTCTGCTTAAGGGGCTTGGTTAAGGGAGTTGATCAAGGCCAAGGCATTGCTTGTTAGGTGAGCGATAGCCAGAACACTCCTCCTCATCTCATCCCTGAGGTTGCCATCAATGGACACACCCTTAAACCCATCCATACATGTATCCTCATCAGTTAGTGCAGCGCTCACCCATGTCTGGATGTTGCCCATCTTCTCTCTAAAATCAGCACCCTCATTGCTCACCGGCAAATGCTCATCCTCATCAAGTGACTCTCGAAGCTCATCAATCGAATCCTCTATGTTCTCCATGCAGTCTTTCATGGCACTCGCCGCCCTTCTGCTGCTCTCATCCTTGTTCAACCCCACCATTGTCTTTGAAATCATGGCCGACATCGCATTAGCCTTGTCCAAGCTCAGCAAAAGAGCAATGTGTGCCATTTCTCTATGGCTAGTTTTGATTGTTGATGCATAGGGGGAGAGAGAATTGAAGCAAAGAGTTGGGTAAAGGGTGGAAGCACAACAGGCTTTGATGAAGTTAGGGTAAGCCCTAGCAGCCAAACCCATCTCCACCATGGCCAAACATGTGAGGATGGTGGAGAGAAGAGCAAGGGAAAGGCTCAAGCTCATGCTTCTTTGGCCTTGCATATTGTTGTGTGAGATGAGAAAAGTGTATGTTGTTTTGGTTGAGAAAATGGGTGGTGTTGGTTTATTATATAGGAATTTTCTCATTGAGGGTATGGCTCGCAATGGGTTGGGCGGCCCGGCCCCAAAAGAGTAGGGTCTGGGCCACAGGGCCCAGACTAGGGCTATTGTGGGCCAAGTTCGGCCCATCTCAATCCTCTTTTTTACTTATTTTTTTTCGTTTGTTCTTGGCCCAGTTTGGCTCGAACAGGACCATCCGGGCTTGGGCCGGTCCTATGGAGACATGGGCTGGGCTAGGGCTGGCCCCTCTGGCCCATTGCAACCCTTAATTGAGGGTCTACCATGTGCCTAGCTATGAATTGGTGGCGGTAAATGTGGGATAGGATGATGCTGTCTTTACTTCTTTTTTAGCGTGAATATGGTGTCTTTATTTTTGTTTCACATTGCAACATCAAATTGCTCCGTTGATCTAGCAAAGGTGAAACCCGCATGTCTCCTCCCATGGTCCAGTGGACCTATAAAATTATTAAATATTTGTGGCACATAAAGTGTGATTCAAAGGAGTGATATATTTTATGGGTGCGGTTTGTATAGAGCCTAGGCTCTAAACAATCAAATTAGAGCCTACCTTCAAATAGTATCGAGAAATGTGGTTTCATTACCGAAAATTACTGTCATAGCCTTAAAATATATTTATAAAGTTTAAAGCTTTACAAGTAGTGTAGATCGACAAATCTATGCAAACTTGAAAATCTTGAAAATTGACGGTCCAAATATTACAAAATACATTATTTTTAAAACTTGAAATCCATTTTCTTATCATGTCCATGCATCTTGACGTTGAGATGATCAATTTGAGAATATTTGGGCATCAAAACAACCTCTTCTAGTGAAAAGTTTTAGGTAGGGTCTAATTTGATTGTTTAGAGCCTTGGCTATATATAAACTTTTCCCATATTTTATTTCACGAACCCATGACTAGCTCCCTGGGCTGTTTGTTGCGTTTGACAAATTTATGCCCTGTGGGTCCAACATAAACCAGACCTTCATAATTGGGTTATCTAAATATATTCAAAGGAAAAAGTTCATATAACTTTGAAACTCTAAGTTTCATGATCACGGTGCATCTCGAAACTCTAAGTTTCATGATCACGGTGCATCTCAAAACCCTATTGGAAAAGGCTATTTTGACATTGAAAAGCTATCTAATTGATCATCTCGACACCGAAGTGTATAAATATAGAAAAAAAAAAAGACTTCAAAGTCTTATAAATAGTACATCTTGCATGACATTATTTGGACCGTTTATTTTCAAGATTTTTATTTGTTTATAGATATGCTTGATTTGAACTATTTTTGGAGTTTAAAATTTTATAATTAGACATATTAAAGATTCTCGGCCATCTTAAAATTTTTTGACGCCTTATGACGAAATTTAGAGGTGTGTCTTACTTTGATTGTTTAAGATTGCAACTTTATGCAAATATTACCCATATTTAAACCAAAGTTTAAAAACTCGACCGGGAATTGGGCATCCATTTGGTCCAAGGAAAATCGGTGGGTCGATCGAGTTGGCTCGGCTTACTAGGCCAGTCTTTAGAAAAAAGAGAAAATAGAGAAAAAGAGACAAAAATTTAAAAAGTGCAAATTCAAATAATGGAGATCACTTATTTGATGTCATATATAGAAGATAAATGAATTTCATGAAAAAATGAGAGAGAAATTGAAGAAGTTTGGTTCTCAGTTAAAAAAACCCTCGAAAATTGGTCTCTCAATTTCTTCTATTTTGCATTGTTATCAAATTGTTATAGGGTTATATTAGACGGCTCCAATATCAAAATTTTAAATCAACTTGTAGATAATTTGATTGAGAAATGAAAAAGAGATTTCAAGAAAGACGGATTCGGTTTTGGTGCTAAAAATGGCAAGATTTTCGCAATCTCGACACAAATGCAACTTTGATCAATTGAATGAGTTGTTGGGTCTAAAAGGAGAATGATTTATTTCAAAATCTATCAAAATGGGGATATAGATAGATTTTTGGTTGAAAAAAAGCAAAAAAATGCTAGAAGATATAGGCTTAGTAGCTTGCAGGGCCTGAGTCAACTTAAAGGTTTCTTAAAGGGAAAGTTCCATCCGTATCGGCTTTTTAATCCTTATAACGAAAATGCTCTCGTTATTATTTGAAAGAATGGGTCGCTCAAAATATTTTATTTTTTGCCTAATAAGCCCCTGATCTGATTTTAGTCATGGGACTGCTTGGTAGAATTTCATTTCCCATTTCAAAGCGAAACATCAGACCGCTCGCCCAGTACGAAATGATAACAGAATGCGGTCCTATGTTGCCATAGTTGAACCGCATTACATGTACAAAATAATAACAGAAGGTGGTCCCATCTTGTAAAAGTCGGACTATAAATGTACAAATTGATAACAGAAGATGGTCAGATGTTTAGAACATCGGAGGACCTTTTTAAAAAGAAAAGTAAATTACTGCCCAAGATTGTTCCAACTTTGATCCATTCAAGCTAATAAATTGATGTATGATAATAATTCTCGCATCAAAACACTGTCCATATGATTGTCGGCCTTGCTAACTATTGCAAAAGTCGGACCAACTTACATGTACAAAATGATACCAGGCGGTCCACTGTTTAGATAGAGGGAAAATCTACATGGAGGTAAACATGGCACAACGAGAGAGAGAGAGTCACCGAGGTTGGAAAAAAATTGAAGCCTCATCTATCCGATTTTTAAAAAAAAAACCCTAAAGAGAAACTAGTCAGTCAGACCTCTGCTTAATTTCTGCATATTTAGAGACCAAACCGTAATAACAGTTTAAAAAATAATACATATGTAATTTTCACCTTTTTAAATATTGATATATGCTAAAGCCATGGAATAATAATCATAAAACACAGGAAAAGGGGAGCAAAGGAAATCAAACAATAGAGAGAAAGTAGGCCATTGGCAGAAATAGGAATCATGAAAGTTTTCGCTCTCCCCTTTTTTTTGTTTTTGTTTTGTTTTCTTTTTTTTGAAAATCTAAACTTAGACGAAAGTTGTTTATGAGATAGCTTAATGAAGTTCATGGAAATAAGAGTTCAAACAAGAAGTGATCAAATGCAAGACATCTGATAAAACTGAAACAATACAGAAAGATTGATCAAATGTAAATTGTTTTGATTCGGTTCATTTGGCGTACCAATTGATATGACATGTAGAAGGCGTGAGGCCCTGTGGACATGTTTAGATTATACAGCACTTTAAATCTAGAAATTTCTTCTTAGTCCCTCTCAAATCTAGTGTTTTACATTGGCTTTAACTATTTCAATTATAAAATCGTGACTAAAAATTTTGAAATTTGGGGAGGTTTTGTAACACTCTTCTTCTGATCTTTAATATTAAATGAAAATAAGAAAATTTTTAAATAAAATTTATCATAAAAGATTTCAAAAAATTAAGACAATGATAGTTTTGAAACTAAAAAGTGAGGTGTTCTAGTACATGGTTAGGATATTGTCTTTATTACATAAACGCAGAAAATCTCCCTGGCGAGGAGTCTATAATATGTAGAAGGTTGTCTTTATTGCATAAACGCAAGAAAATCTCCCTAGCGAGGAGTATGTAGAAGGGAAAACTCTTCCCAACGCTTTTAGGCTAAATTAATAGTGACTGTGTCTACCCTCATCACCATCCAAACTTCATCGCACGGTCATAGTTGTCTGATAGTGTTTCAATTTTCATTTTTTTTATTCTATAAATCCAAATTACTTGAAATTATGAACGTGTGTATATCTTAGTGAGGCGCACCTAATAAAATATGAAAAAAAATAATTCGTAAAATATAAATAGACCAAAATACCACAAAAAATCTATAGGGATATTTTGATCAATTTATATTTAGTGAATTATTTTTTTCATATTTTAGTAGGTGCGTCTCACTAAGATGTACACACGATCCAAATTTCACATCATTCCGATTAGTAAAAAAGAAAAGAAAATTGAATTACTACCAGACAACTGTGACCGTATGATGAAGCTTGGATGGTGATGAGGGTAGGTGAAATCACTGATCATTTTCACCTATATGTGTTTTATAATTTCTTCCATGTAGAAAAATCTAAATGCTGTTATCAAATCAACAAAATAGGGGCCCTTAGTGCATTTTGCTGAACAAACATATATATACCAAGATAATTAACATATGTGGAATAGATAGTGCTCAACAATATTCAAAAGGGTGTGGTTTGTATGAGGTTCTCACCGTATACCATACAAGTGAGGCACACCTTTAAATTTCTTTGGAAGATGTAGTTCTAGTTTCGAAAACACTACGATAGCTTGAAATTTCATGTTCAACTCTTATTATGAAATTTAAACTTTTAAAAATGGTGTAAACAGAGTCCATCTATAAATACCGAAGAATCTAAAAAATAGACATTCCAAATAACTTGTTACATTGTGCACTATTTTTAGTGTTTAATTTTGTAGATATCCCATTTTCAATATGGTAAATTCTATGGTTTTTTGAACCTTTATGACCATATTATCATAGTATACCCAATTTAATTATCTCAAAACTACCCAAAGCCTATCACAATTTGAAGTAGAGCCCAAGACCTTTCCAACGGTCCAAGAATCGCTTGAATCGGACATACGGATAAAAAGATATAACAAATAATAATTTAGTCACTGTGAGACCCAATGTCGGGCCGTGGGCCAGGCTATAACAGGCCTAGACGCAAGCTGATGATGCAGTAAACATATTTTTTTTAATTAGATAAGGCTTTAACTTCAAGATAAATCCAAAAAATTCCGAAAAAAACTCTAAACAATTTAGGAAAAATCACCAATTGAATCTTATAAATACCCCTCTCCCTAACCCAAAAGGGGAGAGAAAAAGAGAAAAAAAAAACTTTAGAAATTATCGAAATTATGAAAATTACCCAAAAATACAAAAAATAAAAAAAGCCCTTAGAAAATTCCTAAAAATTTAGAAAAAATCCGCAAAAATCCCAA